TATATATAATGTTTTTATATTCGTTATGTTAAAGCTTTCAAATGTGAGGCCAACCACCATGGCGTATGATTCATATTTCTTAATTATTCATTACGTATATGCGAATGAGCATTTTCCCTTTGTTTTCAACTTCCATTTTAAATTTTTTGCATAAAAGAAAAACAGAATCATTTTCTGTCGAGAAGACAATTAAGAGATGCCAATTGCAATGAAATTTCTTTAGCCTTCATATCGTATATACTCGGAATCATTTCCATTGATGCTTCTCTCTCGGTCTGTTCTATTTATGAAGTCAGTTTTGGCCTGGTATACAATGGTTGCTCTCTCTATTTAGTATGCCTCGCAGAATGTCTAAACTTAATTGCTTTTGTGTACGCTCAGCGCTTCGTATGAATTCTTTAATGGTTGATACAACTTTTTATGGGTATTTTATTTAAATTTGAAGCATTTGCGATTCGACATTCGGATGGCAGACAAATGTAAAAAGCTGATAAACGAACTGTATTGCAATTAAATGAAACTCAAAATATTTATGCCAAAAGAAATGAAATGTTTGTGCAGCGGCAGCAACGGCGCCATCATTGATAAATGTTTGCGCGATTTGCATTCAGGCAACAATTTATTGATTTTGTTGATTTAAACAGCAGCAGCCGCTCGACATTGTGCTGCATGTAAACAACAGGCACAAAGTGGGCCGATATTCACTTTTGTGTTTTTTTTGTTTGGGTGTGCAGCGTGTCCATGAATGAACATGCATTCATCACGCATGTGAGCAGCTGCGAGGCGCAGGCGGCGTATGAGCAATGTTTATTTATTAACACATCGACGCGTTCACAGAATGCAAATAATTTGTAAAAATGCAATAAATGCACATCAAATGCACATGAGAATAAGGAACTTATTAGCATATATCCTATTACTCTATGTCGCACATCCGATGTCTATTGTACACACACACACACCGACACACATACTCGCATACAGCTGATGCAATTATGGCTCTCATAAATTATAACTGACAGCAGCTGGCAATCGAAAATAAATTGCATTTCGGCCTCAACTGACTGAAAACACATGCTGTCCACATTGTTAGCGCAACCAGCTACCAACATGGCCCAAAAAAAGCATACACGTACACACACACAGACACAAGCGAAAAATGGCTAACAGCAGCCGCCGGAAATGCCAGCATGTAAAAATAGATGCCATAACTAGCAGGCAGTATGCGCCCAGCAGATATCTAGTAGGGGCCCGAAAGAAGTTTGCATAAATTGCACACAGCATTTCTTGAAATTTGCAAGAGCATTTTTAATTTAATGGCCTAAATCTGCTGGAGGTTGGAAAAAGGAGGAAGGAGAAATTCGTTGAATAGCTTTCATATACTAGAAGAAGAGGAATTTAACTACTTTTACTAAACTAGATTTAAGAAAGAAATTCAAAATATATATATTTATATTTTATGTACTTTTAAAAGACGCGCGTATGATAATTATATTTGTTAATATAAAATATAAGTCTATAAAAGTATTATTGACTTATATTTTGAATTTAACTACTTAAGTACAAAATGTTAATATAATTCAACTACTACTATTTGCAGTAAATTGATAAAAGGAATTATCACAGCTCACCTTTAATACTTAGAGAATTTCCAATTTGATTGGAGCTTTGAAAAGGTAGTTGGACTGATGGAAAATTCTAGGCTTTAAGGGCAAGAAACTAGTGATTAAGCTGCAGGCAGCGTGTATAGAATCAAATTGCTAAATAAGTTATGTTTTTCCGCCTATTTAGTCGATTGAGCTGATTTAGACTTGAAAATAAATGCATAAAAAAAAGAATTCATAGAAATATTTTTAAAACTACTATATAAATATTCTTAAATTTACTGAAGCCAGCTTAGGCATACATGTGCAACGATTCTTATGAAAAGAATAATCCCGAATATTTCTTGTCATATCTATGTATTATACCCCTTGAGCAACTTGCATTTAAAGCAGCGCATATACATTTTTATATATGAAAAAAAAAGAGAATGCAAAAAACGGCATGTTCAAAAAAACCGCACAGTAGAAACCTCATGCCACAAAGAGACAACTGCACACAGACATGCAAAAACCACACCACGCATACACACACACACACAGATGTAGCTGCACTTGCACTTGCATAGTTTATCATTTATGCACAGCCCCATGCCCATTGTGCAGGCTGCCTCCATCTTAGGCGGCTGTGCGCTTTTGCCATGAAACTTTAAATGTCTGCAATTGACATTCAAGCCAAAATAGACCAACAGAAAAAAAACAATAATAATAAAAAGATAAAGCACAAAATTGTCACACGGCCTAAAAATGCGCGCGCAACAGCCAAAAGCGAAACGAGCTCTGCACGTGAAAGTAAGCCAAAAAGCTACAGACACACACACACACACACACACAGATAGACACAGCTGTGAATGAGTGTAACAACAGTAATGGAATGTAATTATATATAGACAAAGTATATATGTAAAGAGCGCGTCGTACTGCTCGCTTTGCTAGTCGTCAGCGTCAGCTTCAGGCCAGCCCACCTACGCCCTGTCAACTCGCTCCAGCAGCACCGCCTTGCGCCTCCTCTCCCCGCAGCTCTTGAACTGCGCCATTATGTACTTTATTGCATACATTTGGGCGGCGGCGCCACAGTTTTGTCTGCATTTTGGGTTGAAATGCTTGCTCCATGGCTCTGCTCTGCTCTGCTCTACCCGCCTTCAGCCAGCTGCTTCCACATCACCATCTCTGACTTTTCTTTTGGCCTGGATTCTCCCACTCTCTCCCTCTCTCTCTTTCTCTGTGTGTATGTGAATGAACGTGAAACAATGGCAGCACTTAAAGCAAATGGCGAAAATGGCGAAAATTGTATGCAAGCTGCAAGCTGAATGTATCCTTCGCATGCCTCGGACCAACCACAACTCAATTTCCTATATTGTGAAATGAAAACATTTCCACAAAAGTTGTAAAAGTCGAAAACTTGATCAACTTCACTCGACGCCAAAGTTTAAGCAAGTGAATTAAAAATCAATCAAATGGGAAATATCAACTGACTAATATGAGGTCAAATATAATGGGATTTTCTGGTTTTATTTACTTATTTTTTGTATATTTCTTGAAGCCACGCCCACTGGCCCATTAATGTTTTAATTGTGGCAGCAACGCCCACACTTGTAGCTGCCCTTGGCAAACAACAATTAAACGCTCAGCGCTGCTGATTTACACACTTGAAAGCTTTGCAAACACTTTTGAGGAAGTTTTACTACCAAACAGCCCCATTCATTCAGATGATACCCTAAAAAACATCGGGCATATTAATTTTCAGCAGAAATGTGTAACGTTTTTGGAATGGCAAAGCGAATATTTGAGGAGTGGCAATAGGATATCAGTTAAGGATCTATATAAGATCAGTCTTAAATAGTAGTTGTAGTTAGTCTTATATATTAATATTAATTTTTTTTTAAGTAAAATAAAATAAAATCTTATAAACATTTCTTATTTTATACCCTATAATATTCTACAGTGAGTGCATTCAAACTTTGCCTATACAGAAGCCGTTCTACTTTATTGTTGTTTAATTTGCGCAGCCAACAATTTGCGCATATAATTGTGAGTGTGAGTTTGTGCTTATGTATGCATGTGTGTGTGCGTGTGTGTATGTGTGTAATTAAACCTGCGCTCATCACAAATTTAATGGTCAAGCTGCGAGTGAGAAGGAACTGAGGTATTTTGCTGCAAATGAAGTTCGCACTGAACAAGCGACTCACGAGGCGTATGCGTAATGCAGCTGCCAGCAGTAAGCCACATGCTTCCCCCTCCCCAGTTCCAACACTCACACTTCAGCTAATCCCGGGTAGAGTGTTAACTATAAGCATGTAATTAAATTGATAGTCGCACATAAAAGTGAGTGGGTGAATGAGTAAGTGTGTGTGGGTGTCTGTGCCACTATCTTTGTGTGTGAGTAGGGGTGTAAGCAAAGCCAAATGCTGTTAAGCAAGTGGAATTTACATAGCATGCCTGTCGAACTGACGCTGCTACATCGCTTCAGCTCAGCTCTTCAGTCGAGTTATTTAAATTAAATTCCTACGAGCGTTACACCCACGCACACACTTCAAAGTGGCGTCCAGCATTTTCTTTTCTTTTTTTTTTCTTTTTTGTGCAGGACAATTAAATGTCAGAGGACGTAGCGCTCTCTCGCTGGAGTCCGACTAACCCATAAGCGAGTCCTCGAGCTGATGCATCTTTGACATATTGTCCAGAGCTGACTGAAAACTGTCAAAGTGAAAATTGAAATGAAAATGAAAATGTAAATGGAAACGGAAACGGAAATGGAAATGGAAATGCATACGGCGTGCCACAGCCATTGTCCAAGGCGTATGGTCGCAGTTCGCTCTCATTCCTCAATGTGTGTATGCGCGTGTTTTTCTTTCTTTTTCACTAAATTGCTCGCAATAAATGCGCTTTACAGCCCGTTAATTGCTTTGTGGCACCAATTTGTCAAACTGTGCCAAAGTACACTGAAACCAAAGGGCGACAAACATTGCTGGACATGCTGAGAGACTGCGGGAAACGTAAGCTAGAGCGGAGCATAAAGCACATTAAAAACACTCAACTTAGAGATATTATATTTGGTTACAGCACTTGGAATTATAATTGAAATTGAAATAGGGAACGGGAAGAATTTAATAGTCATGCTTTAATGACAAAAAGTCTATAATTAAATATATCATCTAAGTATCGTTAGCCACTCACAATTAAAACAATAATTATGGATCGCACTAGAAGCCAATAAATAAATGATTAAAATTACATAAACAGGAATCCAGAAAGTACTTAACCTATTTCTATATTTAATAATCTATAACATTAATATTTGCGCATATCGACTTACACAAAAATAAATATAATCATAAATCTCTTGAGGGGCAGAGAGGAGAGCTAAACAGATTGTATCGAAATACATCGATATAAAGGAATATAGATTTCACTTAACAGTATGAATATATAAAGAGCAATACTTTAAAGTAGACAAAAAGGAGTTAACAATTTCTATCGAATCAAATATCGATTATATCTATCGATATACCTATATAAATATAATAGTTAGTGTATATCACTAAGCTGTTTGCCAGAAATATTGATCCAATTCAACTTTTCGAATCTGCACTCTCTATATTAAGTTTCCCAAATCCCCCTATGACTGCATATATGTACGTGCTCTCATCGCTTTCCCAGTTTTGGTCTCACTCTCAGCAATTGGGATGTTATTTATGTGGTCTATGTGCTATTTTTTAACCGCATTTTTTGTCCGTCAGCAACGAACGTCGGAAATTTAAACAAGCCTCAACAATCTAGAGCGAGGCGACCATAAATAAGCAGCCCTAGTTGTATCTGTCTGGTTTAAACATTGTTTGGGCAAATACACAAAATGCTTTGCATATAGCCTCGAAGTGTGGGCGGCAGAGTCTCGTTATATATGCATAGGTCGACGCTAAGTGGATGGCAGCAGTGGACAACAGGGCGGCTAATTAATGCGTTATATTTCTGGTAATTACAATCCAAAGCCAGCAACTCGCAAAGTTTGAAAAGAAATTTGCATAAACAGCAAAAATAGCAACAACCAAAAAGAGTGATGAAAACTTATTCATAAAAAAATGCTGTGAATTTAATTATACGAAATTAATATGAATAAAATATGCGAAAAAATATAGCGAAATGCCAGCGCAGCGAATCTGCAATATATTGCATGCACGCTGTCGCTTACCTGCCCTTACCTATGCTGGGGCTGCGGCTCTGCTGTGCCTCGAGGCCATCAAAAATGCAATACGAAGCCGAACAGCAGCCCCCCCTGGCGACATTATGAAATTGACTCGTGTGCGATAGGCACGCGCTGAGATCAGGTGGAAATAGAGATGACAATTTGGCCAATGCCGGAGGATAAATGCTAGCCAAAAGTGAAGAGGAGAAGCGAGAAGAACAACTCGACCGAGAAACGCCTTCGTGTGCCAAGGTCAGTGGGAAAAGCAGAGCGAGTGTAAAACACAAACAGCAAAGCGCGCAGGAATGCAATAAGTCGAGCAACGAGAGAAGCAAGAGAAGCGTTGCAAGCATGCCTGGACGGGCATTGCTCGAATGCCGCAGTGCAAGGCGCTCAAAGAAGTAAGCGGATAAGTGGATAGAGTGAGATGCAAACAATGAGAATAATGCATTCAAATCAATTACATACGATAAAATCTCAACGGGCTGTGCTATCATAATCTGCAGATCTTGTCTAGAATACCTTGATTTTGGCTATATTTTTGGCTGTAAACTAGCCAACACTGACTGCCGGCTGCCGGCTGCTGACTGCTGTTGCTCTCGCCGCCATTTTGAAATGGATGCACGCATAAATGAATGCTGAAATCAGCAACAGTGACAGCTCAATGGGTAACAAATGGCAGCCAGAGCCAGATAGCCGAACCGAGCAAAAACCGGATCTGGTAAGAGCGAACAGGTAACAACGCAGCTGTGCAAACAATGCAAAATGCGGCAATAAATGACACTAACTAGTCAGCAACAATAACAGCACACACATATACATATATAGATATATACAATATGAATGCAAAACATGCACTCACACACACGTAAACCATGTGCAATCGGATATGGAGAGCTCGCATTGGCAAACACGCCTCACACAATCTGTGCTTAAAACAAATCAGGACGTGCCAACAGGCTGTGCACGACTATGACATGCTCTAGCTGGGCAGCTAATATAGTTGAGGAAAAGCAATAGGTACTCTACACTAAATGGAATGCTATTGGATCAGTAGAAGAGAAGTATATAAATGATTGATATATCTTGTTGAATGTCCTCTTTAAGTATATATATGTATCTTCTAATTAGGAGTTCCACTTGAAGATACTTCTACATAAAGATACTAAAGATGATATCTCTAGTATCAAAACTATGCTAATCAAGTCGACAAGAAGAGATCTAATCAGCTCTGACCGGAATAAATCTAGCTCACACTCTCAACTCAAATCCAATATACTCCACTTTAGTCTCAAGAGTAGAGTATAATAAATGTAGTATAACTGGAAGTGCACGTATGGAAAGTGATTTTAAAAATGCAAATGGCATAAGGAACTAACAATAACTGTGATTAGAAATGGCAAAATGTAAACAGAGTAAAATATACAAGGTCAAAGTGAATCAAAACTAACCGGAAATAGACGCCAGGAGTGCGCTGGTCCAGGTCCGAGGGATACTGGCGGCCCACGCGGCACTTGCTGAAGAAGATACCAATGAAGGAGGGATCACGCTTGTTGGGCCAATCCCTGATGGGGAAGACCAAGGGATAGGTCAGATACTCGGGTGGGTCCGAGAACTCCAAGTATCCATTCAGCGAGAGCTGCAAATGCGAATAGAAAAATATAATATTGCTTGACTCAGCAGCAAATTGTCAACTCACCCGAGTATAGTTGAAGCGGAAGCCGTAGAAGGGCATCTGGAAGTTCAGATTTTTGTGGAGCTGCGTCATCGAGGCGTGTATATCAAACTGATAATCGCCGCGTCCGCCGTACTGGTCCTTGTCGAAGAACCAGTACAGGAAGGTGGATCGCAGCTCGGCGAGGCGGGCGGGCGTGATGGTGTATCCGCCGGCAGCCGTCGAGGGCGTGTCCGGTGGCGCCACATTATTGTTGGGATCTGCCGGGCATAATGAAAAAAGAAATACATATACATAGATATATTAGTATTACAGTCAAGTCTGCAGCAAGCCATTATAATAATTTCACATTTCAGCAGCTAATCCTGGGAGATTACGTATTCAATTTCTGCCCATGCCAGCGCCTGCAGGAGGAGTCGGCAGCATTTCAATTTAGGCCCGTCGCATGCAACGCTCGCCACATAAACTGAATAACTTTGCACTTGCATTGCAATCTACGCCCAGCCGCATGCCACTTGCCACTTGCCACTTGCCACGTGCCTAACTGCAGCCTCGTGCAGCTTCTTTCTGCTGACTCACTTACAAAATTGCTGCCTCGCTCCCAACTGCACTTAGCCATTAAAGGTCACTGGTGTTTCCCTTTTTTACTTTCTCTCCGTCTTAACGTTGTACTCGCTCACAAAAACCTACGGGGCATATTGCTTTTGTTTTAGATTCGAGATCAGTTGCATCTTAAGAGATTTAACTCCTTGAGTTCACCTAAGGCTTCCGCTTTCTATCTCTAGTTATAGTTGTATTCTAAGCTATACTCCCTCTAATATATCTATAAGTATTAAGCGGCCACTTATACCCGTCTGGAGTGTGTTCACTCGTTTTTGCCATCGTTTCAGGCAGTTTTTCGTAATTTCTTTTCTTATTTTTTATTTGCTCTCCGCGTTGTCTTCTTAAAGCAATTTAAGCCGACTAATGTTTGAGGGACACAAAAAGCAGCCACAGCAAGCCAAGGGCCTTAGACCAGGACATTCAAAGGATGTGAATCGCTCGTAGGCAAAAGCCTGTCTGTGGCTTTTGCCTGTTTGCAACTTCAACCCTTGGGTGATATCTTCTCAATTGAGAACTTTGTAGCTGAAACTATTTTCTGTATTTTAGATAATACCTTTAAATTTTAAGAGCAATTGCATTTATGGAGAGTAACAAGAGTTTGTATATTTATAAGGAATTTTATAGATCTGTTATCTGTTATTTTTTTCTAGTTTTTGGGGAATCGTTTTTAGAAGAATATTCCATGAGAAATATATTGATTAGGATGCTCTATTGAAAAAGAATATCTAACATGTTCATAAGAGTAACTCGATTAAGGCATAGAAATGAAGTTATTGTTAAATTTGGTTAAATATTATA